CAGAACACAACAATTAATGTAAGAAAGCCAACAACCATTAAGTCATGGATCTAAGAAGTGCTACAAACTCTTACCTAGGCAGATAGAAAAAAACTAAACCTAGACATATCATACTATACACTTAGAAACCAAAACAAGGAATGAAAAGTACACTATTAACAAAAAGTAGGGAAAGTACCTAATTGTATTGTTTGCAGCTTTGCACTGCTGTCATGTATTTTAGTTCTTTATATAGGATATATGTGTATATGAATGTTCATTTACAGTTATGAACATTTTATATATCTGTGTGTGTAGTTATACACATGTGCATGCATTATTTCAAATAATAACTGAAATAAATCACTAGTAGGCTTTTTACTAAAGAAAACATTGAAGAAAATATTTATGATTGAAGGAAAGTAAGAATAGAGATGAAAAATGAAGGAAAAGCAAAGGAAAAGGAAATATGCACACAAATATAAATAGATATTAACTGGATACATGTTTTGTAAATATACTATATAGAGAATGAATATATATGACAATGAAAATAAAAAGCAGAAGGCAGTAAATAGAATTATTGTGGTATATTTTCATTTTAATAAGTTATATTAGTACTACTTTGTATTATATTTTAACAAACCTAGGTTGTGTGTTGATATAGTTAGCAATTAAGAGTATAATACAAATAGCATTTAGCTAAATGCTAATGAAGGAGAAAAACTAAATATTAAAACTTAAGTATTTAAGATATACCAAAAAATAAGAAATAAAAAGGGTGAAGGAAGGAAGAATGTACAAAATAAATAGAAAACAAACAGTGGGATAGTAGTTTGTTTCCTATCTTAAAATTGATCCCCAATAATCATAAGGTACTTAATACATTTACTAACAGCTACAAGGTTGCAATCTAAAAGTATATAATTACATTGCTCTTTCATTAAATTTAAGCAAAATTATAATATATTCAGATTAAATTCCATACTTTGAATTATGATTTTTACTGACAGTAAACATGAAGGATCAAAATCAAATGTGAATAACACTAAAGTCAATCTCACATAATCTAAAATTTTACTTTTAGAAATATAATAGGTTTGAAACACTGTGCTAGAATTTAGGTCTTAGGAATTTGTTGTTGTGGTTGAAGCAAGGTATATTAATATTGAGGAGATTCATTACTGTTTAAGCAGTACTTGAAAATCAAAGAGATATTACTAAACCAAGAACCTGAAATTTAATCAAAATGTTATAACAAACCAGTTAAACCAGCTTCATTATACCCATTTTGACAGAGACAAGTGTAGACAAGTATGAAAAATAAACCAGGTCCTAAGAAATAGCTTTAGGCACAGATTGAGCAAATTTAAACTCTTAAGTCTATCAAGAGAATTTTCTGAAAAACTATTTTCATTAGCAAATATACTTTGACCCAAAGAAGTGAATTAATGGACCCATGGTAGAGTAAGCCTTTCCTTTACTGGTCTCTAAATTGCTAAACTTTATGCAATGTAAGGGTCAGACTACATAAAGAAAGGTAATATTTCTATGCAATGAAAAGTTTAAACAATGACAATATCCATCTACACTTTGAGCAAACTCTACATGTTCTAATTCTTATTGATTTTCACTAATTTAACGATTGTTAATTTTAACAATTTAACAAATATTTATTATGGTACTACAATGTGCCAATCATAGTTTTAGACTCTGAACAAATGTTAAGAATTTCAGAAGTATATGATGCTTATGGCCTAGTAGATTTAACAGTCATTTGTTCCCTCAGTGAGTACTTCTTGGACATCAAATCTGTAACCAGATACTCCATTAGGTACTGAGAATGGAGTGATGAATTGTTTCCTTGCTCTTATTGCACTTAATGTCTGGCCAGGAGATTAAACATCAAATAATGCTAAAACAGATATATAAGCCATATTATACATAATAAACAGGTCACTATGCAATGAAAATATAAAACAGACTACAGACCTTGAGAGTTTGGGAAATATTTCATGAGAAAGTAACATTCAAATTGATAGCTGAAGGTTGAATAGAAACTAATTAGTTGAAAGAATTTTTCTAGGAGAGTGAAAAACAAGCAAATACCATGTTTCCAAAAGAAACATGATTTATGGAGAACTCAAAGAAGGCCACTGTGGCTAAAGTGGCAAGAACAAGAGAGAAGAGTTTAAGATGATGTTGGTGAGTGATGCAATGAAAAGAGAAGCTTCAGAGAGTGCATTTAAAAAAAAATGTGTTATCCATTCCAAAAGAAATGATGATTGAAAGGTGGCTGTGAAATAGGGGGATAGTATTATTCTATTTGTAACAATGACCATTTCTCATTTATATAGACAGTGGATTGAGGGATGCATGGAAAATAAAAGACAACTTGAACAATCCAATAATTCATATGCATGATAATAAAAATTGGTGGTAGCAGCAAACTTGGAAAATCAGGTGCATTTGAAGGAATTTCAACATGGAAAATTGCCGGGCTCTGTGATACCCTGGGTGTGAGGAAAATGAAGGAAAAGGAGCTTTTGGTTTGTGCCTTGGAATAACTGAATGAATTGTGATGGCCCTCCATGCAGTAGGGCATGTTACAGAAGGCTGAAGGCTGGAAGAAGTAGAACATGAATACAATTTTGGAAATTTCGAGTTTTAATTGCTTTTGAGAGATTCAAGTAGTGATATCAAGTGAGTAGTTGAACATCAGGATTGCAGCTCAAGGGAAAGATGGGAATATAAATATGCAAGACACATACAATCAAATAATAAGTGAAACTCTGAACATGGTTAAGAAGCTCTGGGAAAAATACAGATAATTCATGAGGAACCAGGCAAATAAAGGCTGCTCAGCCTGCCAAGGAAATTGAGGAACCAGAGAGGCAGGGCTTAAGGCAGTAAAGGTTTGTTACAAGAGAAGCCCGGGAAGGAGATAATTCCAAGTGTCAGGTATCAGTGCTGCTGTGAGTTCAAATAAGAAGAGACATTAAAAAAAAAAAAAAAAAAAAAAACCTTACAGTTCAACAGAATTGAAACAAAAAGAAAATTATTCATAAACTGTTGGACAAAAGAAGTAACTTTTAAACTATATTCTTGGGATGCATAGGAGTTTCCCTGACAGAATGGTTGGAGGGTAAAAAGGAAATATTTAGATATTTAGAGAGGGTTTAGCTATTTCTGCATAGAGGAACAAGAAGTCTACATTGGGCTGATGGGAGTCCCAGAATCCCTTTTCTTTCATGGTATTTCTTCATCAGCAATCCTAGTCATTGTCAATGCATTGCTTCTGTGTCAAATAGGGCAAAGTAGACATTTATTTATTTAGCCAAATTAGTTTATCTTTTATCAATTTTACCCTGTTGTGGGCTTTCCCACAAAATGCATAAATCAGAACATAAAGGGAGACACGGAAATATAAGTTTCACCAGCAATAAAAGCCAAGTCATATTGTCTCAAACTTGAGAAATAAATGTGAAGAATTTCTGATTATCGTGCAGACTGAACAGAGAAGTTAAGAACGTTAACAAAGTTATAATAGAAAGCTTAAAACAGAATGTAGGAGCTAGGCACAATAGTGCCTGCTTATAATTCAAGCAGCTCAGGAGGCTGAGGCAGGAAGATCACAAGTTGAAAGCCAGCCTCAGCAACTTATCAAGGCCCTAAACCAGTTAACGAGATTCTATCTCAAAACAAAAATTTAAAAGAGCTGGGGGTGTGGTTCAGTGGTAAAGTACCCCTGGATTCAATCCCTGGTACAAAAAAATAATAATAGAATATAAGACGAATATAGGAAAATTCAACAAAATTAAACAAACCAGTAAACCTGTGAGATCAAGGATCGCCCTCCCCTCTACCACTGACACCAACAGGTTTTGAGTTAGAAGGCCCTGGCCCTCTTTTAAGGAATGAGGAACAAAGAGTCTTTTTATGAATCCACAATTGCAAAATTCCTACTTATAAAGATTATAATTGCACATATTGCTCTACTAAACTGAGAAAACATCATAGAAAAATTAATATTAGAATAGTTGATTTAATGCCACGTAGCAAAATGATGCTTATCCACTAAAATATTACAATAATACCAGTTATTATTTAGTTCACAAGATGAATTGGGATTACTGTTGTATTCAGCACCTGTAAATAAAAAAAAAAAATGATAATAATACCTAAGCCCTCATTAGGGTCCTTCCATTTTAACATGTTTTAATATTTATCCACAATTATTACTATTATTTAACATTTTGTGAAGTTATAAATTTTAAGCTTTTTAAGTTATAAATTTTAAGTTTTTATAAATTTTAAGCTTTTTACTTTTTTTAAAAAGTAAATTTATTTATATACTTTTTCTTCATCTAATTCTTTTGTTGAGAGTGTATTGAATTATTATTATGTAGATACTATGTAGATAAAGACTATTATCTTTACATGGGCTTTCAGGAATAATGTGGGAATAAATTTTAGTTGCAATAGCCATTATTTACACTGTTATTCAAGATTGCTCGAGCTTGTTGATGCATAGGTACATCAGGGACAATTAATGATCCGATGGATAATTTTTTCCTACTATGTCTTCCTAACCTCTGTGTTGGCTTTATTTCTTTTTCTGCCTTATGTTGTGACACATTTGTCATCTTTGTTACACAATATTAAGGAGGGAAATTAGAATAAGGTTAATGTCCTTGAAAAAAAAAATGCCTGTGTATTTAAATTACATTAGATAATGCATTCCGTCCAAGAAAAACACAGAAATAATCATTTCCTTTAGATGACCTATCAATTGTCACGGATAGAGATTTTGCTGGGTTTCACCTGTAGCAACGAGTATCCTGGTTCACAGTAGAGATGATGGGAAACCTTTTAAGGGGCACAGCCCAACAGGCAGGACTGCCGCAAAAAGGGGCACAGAGATGACATAAAAGGAGAAGAGGGCACTAAGAGGTCGGTAAGAGAGAGGCCATCTGGCAGTGTGCATGAGGGTGGGAACACCCTAGGCCGCGAGGTGGTACCTGCGCCGAGTCGAGCGCCCCTGCCACTGAATCCCCGATCCAGAGATGCTCCCGCAGAAGCTGCTGATAGCTGAGGCAATGCTTCACCGCGGAGGGCACATTCCCCATGGCGGGGCCTGGGGCTGCAGTCAGCGATGGGAGGGAGCCTGCAGGATGATGCGGGGCGGGCACCGCGCTGGGAAACTGCGCTAGTCTTAGTAAGCGCGCCTCCTGTGCGCGGGCGGCGAGCACCAGCCCAGAGCCTCCGGTGCGCACTGCGGCGGCGCGGACTGGGGTGGAGTGCAGGCACTAGCCAGCGACTGTGCAGGGGACAGGGGTATTTAGGTACCTGCGTCGGACACAGGGAACCCGGAGAGAACAGAAACAAAGAACTGAGCTGGATGATGTTCAGGGAAGGCACATTTTTTCCTAAGGGCTGTACACTCAGGGCTGGCGGTACCTACTAGCACAATACCCACCTATCGCACTTCTCACCTAATTCAGATCTTACATAGAAAGAAACAGGCTTAAATGAAAGGAAGGAGGGATGCGTTTTTCTATCAGTGAGTTTGTTCTTTCCTAGACGTGGTGTAGCTCAGTGTAGATTTTTTTTCATCATTAGCTCATTTGAGTTTATTTTTTATGACCAAGAAAAAAAAAAAACTGTACTTCAAAATCTTGAGGCAGTTTACAAGGTTAAAACACGTATACACCAACAGTCTAATGAAGAAGAAAAGACAGAAGGTCCTAAATTAGGGAAGAGTCAATAAATGATCAGTATGTTGGTGCTGCTAGTTAAATGCTGAAATGGAATTATGTTTTTTAAGACACATGGCTCAAGACTCAAAGTTATTGAAGCCCGGATCCATTCAAAAGGAAAATTCTTTAAAAAGGTTCTTGGGACTTTAAAATAATAGAAATCCTTAGAAAGTGGGAAATTTGGAAGATGGTTCTGGAGCTGACCACTGCCTGCACTCACCCCAGCCCCCTTCACTAGCACAAGCACACTTGAACTGTTGCACTATAAAACTTCAGTGTATGCTCAGCAGCCTGCAACTGAAAAGATGCAGTCAAGAATAGTCCCATGCAGGGTATCTAGAGTTTCTTGGAAACCCAGCTAGGTGTCCATGACCAGGGTTTCCTCTTGTCCCTACTGTTTTCAGCAGCAAATATAAACTGGAAGCAGACTGCTGCACACACCATTGCCACAACCCGCTAAAAGTATCAAAAGATCACCTTGTAAAATATAGTGTAAATAAATTTAGAAGAAATTACTATTCGGAATTTTTTTAAAAAACATTACTACCATTTGTATGATGGTAAGACTTCCACTGGTGAAAGAGGGCTCAGAGGATTTTTCAGTGAAACAGCACCAAAAGGGGCAGAAGATAAGATCTTAGACCCTCACAACTTTGACCAGGGATGGATTAGATTGGAGCGTCCTCTGAGATGCTACAGTGAAGTCATGCAGTTATTGGATACCTCTAAAACACCAAAACCTTGGTTGCTGTTTACTTGAACATTGTTATTTTATAGGCATATATCCATAAAACCAAATCTTTACTAGATAGTGTTTCCAGCAGAGCTCAGCTGTTAATTAATTTTCTAATATACTTGAAATGAAGCATATAGGTTGCATTAATGTCCAATAACATTTTCTTCACTGTATTGTAATTCTGTAATGGAGTATCATATTTGAAAGAATTTATAAGAATTCAATTTGAACAACAAGAAATTTTAATTTTCAAAATGGAATTAATTATTCAAAATTTCAAAAAGTTTTTCAATTAACAATGTCAAATACGTTTCATACAAAGGCTGAACTTCTGGAGAACATGACCTCTAAGATAAACCAAATATTGTATGATTTTCTACTGTTGAGGAAAAAAAAACACATAGAAATAAATTTTACTGCTTAGTAGTATTCTAAATTGAAAAGTTCTTAAGAAATTTTTATATTTCTATTAGTTGACCATAGTAATATAGTTTTTTAACAGAAGAACCTTATAAGTATGCAAATATTTGTGAGTTTTCTTCGTATGATAAAATACCATAATCTCAAAAAATTTAAATTTCAATGAATAAAAGGGAGTGACAATGTATGTGCTTTTACTTGTCAATCTTGATATTCAATCATGAATGCTTACAATTATTAAATTTTAACAGTTTATGCTTTTATAATTAATATCAGTGTACAACTTTATGTTTTTATCATATAGGGGTTACAGGAGGAAAAATGTAAAGAGTGGGAGAGATATCAAATGGATTTGTTTTAATAATGAGAAACTGTAATATGTACCCATCCCTTGCAAGTCTAAAAAGCTCAATGTAAAATAAAGATAAAGCAAACCTTTTGGAAATAAGTATCTGCTTAACACTTCTTAATTTAAACTTCTTAGGAGTTTCCTACAACAAATAAGAAGTTACATGTCTTAAAATGTTTTTTTAATTTTTTTCATGATGAGACTTAGTTACCTTTCCAACATCAGCTCCTTCCTGTTTCCTAAAATTACCTGCACCCAAATCAAATTATGCATGATTCTCCAAGTTTCAGAGCTCTCTAATGATGTCCTATCATTATAATTCTTTTCCTTATTATAGAAATTTTTGGAAATATGGGAGATATATGAAGATATCAATGAAGCCATCCATCATTCTCATTCTAGAAACATTTTACTATACTTAAATCTGAGAGAAAAATTGTATTTTCCCATATGTGTTTTTATTCTGACCTTCTCATTTGATTTTAATTTCTTTGAAACAGTGATGCTGATGACTACACAATACCAATAGACATGCATTCAGTATCAATATCATTTTCTACAATAATCCTCTGAAGTACAGCTCAGTATTCAATTATTTTTGAGAAGAAAACAGGTATAAAGCATATGATCATATGGAAGTTTTTATAAAAATAATTACCTAATTAATCTTCTAAAATAACATGGCAGTGTAAATTCACCACTAGAGTTCTGTTCCTGTCCTAATGTTTTTTCCTATATATAGTATTTCCTTGTGTAGTTGGTAACTTGTTTATAAATGCTTATCTTTGGTGATGGTTAAGCATTTTTTTCCTATGACAATCTTCTATGGGATATTGAAACAACCCTAACAAATGATTTAATCTCTGCTTGTCTGGGATTTTTAATGAGTTTGATTTTATTTCATAAAATTATTATTATTATTATTAGTAGTAGTAGTAGTAGTAGTAGTATTAAGTTATGTCATATTCATTCCACTGTCTTTTCTATTATTATTATTATTGCTATTGTTAACATAGTATTTCAGAGTACCATAAGGATGTTATGAATCTAGTACTTAAAACTATGCATGCTGGCACTTTCCTTCAGTTTTCTTTCATGGCTTTAATTTCATGGAAACAGGCGAACTTTTTTTACTTCCTATATATAACATGGCCTTTTGAGAACAATGATTCATGCTCAGGGCTCATTTAGTAGGCTACTCACATGGTTGTCTATATAGGTGTACCTTCCCATGTGGTGCTTAAAATTTCAGCACCTGGCTGCCAAGGCTTGTGCCCTCTTGTGAATTTCTTGGCATTATTTGGCCCCTGGATATGTCCTTGCTACCCTCAAACACTGCTATAAGTGTTTGCGGGTAGAAGAGCCACTTAAATCAGCTTAGTCCTTAATTCCTTAACAGAAAACTGACCCGAAACTTTTTCTATGATAATTGTGTTTGTGCCATATTTTTCACTTCATTCTGGAGTTGCTATAACTTCTAGAGAAGTAAAGATAGGGAACAAAAGATGTTCAATTAAACTAAGAACACTGAATTTGACTCAGCCTGATAATATCACAATATAGTTCTGACGTCTCAGCTAATCCACAGAAAAGAAAATTAGACTGAAACCACACATTCTCTATACCAATTCCCATCCATCTCACTATTTCTTCTTTGTATAAAATGACCACAATAAATGGCAGATTGTATAATGCTTTTCTTGTTAACAAAGGGTTTCAAAAATGGAATGAGGAGGGAATTGTGTTTCCATCTAAAAGTAGGTAGACTGGCTTTATCAATTCTCTGAAGTGGCAAGTACTTGGTGGAAAGGATCCAGTTAAAACTGGCTGATATTCTGTGAATCTCTTTGGTCTCAAAGATGGATATATATAAGTCTGTCTAACAGCATGAATAGAATCAGAAGTCACTGAGTAAGTCAAAATTTTTGTAGTAATGAGTGCCAAACTGGCATTTGGCCAGGTACCTACTGGGCAGGGATCAAAGACACATATGGTGAATCTCAAGCAATGATACCATAGAACTTTGGCAAATATCACAGCAGTAATGTACTTCAACCTTGAACAATAAAAAAAGAAAGAATGAGAACAATTAGGATAACAATACTAGATGATACCTAAGGGAAAGCAAAGCTTTCATCATCTCAGTTTTATTGCTAAAAAATCCAGATAACTTCTCACATATGTTGTTTCTGGATTATCTAAATTGATGGGGAGGATAAGGGTGTTTTTAAAACATTTTTGGCATTTGGTCACTAGAAAGTTCCATTAATGATAGCATTGTTCTGATATAAAGCATTCTTTTGAGAATAAGTAATGAGTTCTATTTTACTGAAGTAACTCCCCCACCCCAGGCGATGGATAACTGGCACTAGTTACCAAATGCAGAGCACATTATCCAAATGCAGGAGTTTATTTATCATCTTAAAAATTCAGAAAGATACAAAAGTATTAATTTGCCAAATCTATTAAAAAATAAAAGACACAGACACATAGTGATCATTAGCTAATTCCAGCTCATTAGATGGCTACAGTGCACATATTTTTTTTGTCACTATATGTAAAAGTATCTTTTCATTCCATTAACTGTGAACTCAAACTCTATGTAGAAAATGATTTTATCATTTGGTGGGTTGTAATAAATATAACATTAACACACAAACTAGACTAACTCTTACCCCCTGGGCAATCTCATTCTTTGAATCTGTGTAAGTAGAATTGAATGAGAAAACATCAATCTATATGAAGTATAAAGCACATTGTGTTTTCCCTTGCACATAGAAGGTGCCCACTAACTTAGCTTTGTATTTCCTTTTCTAGAATCAGATTGGTCCATTGTTTAAAAAAAATGATGTGGATGCTAACACTCAACATGGCTGGGAGGGAAGAATAGAAATTCAGT